CAGCACCCCTGACTCTACATAAAAAAGAATAAAACCCGATTTCCATCGAGTTTTCCTTCTACAATCTTTGTTTCCTGTACTAACATTCTAAAATTATTATTGTTTTATAAATAACATTTTTAAAATTTGTCGTAGTAAATATCCAACGTTTATTTAAAATTTAGTACATAATCAAAAGTATTAGGAGTCAAATTCTGAAAAAATGCACGGTTAGCGAGTAATAAACCAAATAGCAAAAAAACTACCCTTTCGTGGAATGAAATTAGGGGACGCGGAAAGAATTTTTTGGGGGAATATTCTTGATTCATTATCAGCACCCTTGACTCCACATAAAAAAAAACCGACTACCATCGAGTTTTCCTTCTACAATCTTTGTTTCCTAGACTATATTTACTGAACTAATTTTAATCAAACCTTCTTCATGAAAATCCCATAAAATAGTATTTATTAGCAACGGTTCGTCAGCCACAATACATTAAATTTTGGTCTTGCAGCTAGTTTTTTTATTGTAATGGTTGGCACAATGTATACATGAGCAAATGCTCAAGTTGGCTCTCTTGTATGACACAATGTAACAAATGACATTTGATAGATTTAAATCGGTATCTGTTACACTGCGTTACTGTAACCATCTCGAGTTAGATTTACAGCTCGTTACTTTGCTTCGATACTAAGCTTATCTTCTAGAGGATCTTTATATCTCTGTCATTAGTGCTATATGGGTCGAACGCACCTTATCTATATTCTAATTTTTGCCTTGGGAAAAATAGCAACAGGTTTAGTGAATATATGGTTTCTGGTTATTTGCATAAGAAACAATTATATTAATGGGAAAAATTTTACGTGAATTTTTACAAGGTGCATTTTGAAAATGTCCAATAAACAGTTTTAAATTATTAAGACATTTTATAATCGTCTTCTTCGATCTTCTGCGGTTAATATAATTTCTAATATCCACAATAATATCATATTATTTTATGGCAAATTTAGAAGCGAACCAGGTCAACAAAAGGCATCTCTCGATAGCGGAACATTTAGGTTTTTTGCTGACACAAACAAGAATATCAATTTCTCCAGATCATTTTACCAAACGAATAAGGTTTTATTATGCATAACTGCTTTGATAGAAATTTATATCTATCAGTGAGTTAAACTAATAATTATATTCTATATTAACTATGTGGTTAGTGTATAATTAGGGAAATTTACTTTGATTGGAAATTAATATGAAAATGAGCTACTACTTTTTCAGAAGAAATGGTACTTGTTTACTGCCTACCAGCGGCGTCGAAGATTAAGATTAAATTTTGAAGAGTGAGTACCTTTTAAAATTATAGGTACTGCTTTGTTACCTTTTTTAAAAATTGTATTTTATACAGGTAACATATATTGTACGTATTCATATAATTATAAGGTACCTTTTAATATTATACTACTTTATTACCTTGACTTTTTTAATTTAATATATATTTTAAACTAATTTATTAATAATTTTGCGATGAAATTGGGGTAGGTACACTTTTTATACAATAAATTGAACAAAAAGCCAACAATTTTTAAAAGTAAATATTGAATACGCGCCACTGCTTTGCGAAACACGTGTTAAACTGAACTTGAAGAGCGGTACCATTACGAAATTACATCAACTGAGCATAGAGCTTTCTCGCCAAGTTATAACGCGCGGACTGTAAATAATATGGAACCAGTCCAAACTAACAAAATACTCTTGGGGTGGTTCCACCTAAACTGGGCAGAAAACCTGGCAACGTGGTATTTTGAACTTTCGTTTGATCCACCTCACAATCCACACAAGCTCTGTTTGATCTCGTACTAAAAATACTAAAAATCACTGCAACACTGCTCTCTAAAAATGAATTAGTCAAAAATTACTAATTTAATAGTTATTAGTGGCTGCTTTTTCACTTGTACCATGGTTAACCATGAAATACCATGGCATCCCAAAATTAAACAGCCAATTCTTATGTAAAATTGTCCCCTGAATCCGAAAATACCTTCAAAAGTTAAAAAAGTAGAACAGTTTTTAAGATATAGTAAATTTTCCATTTAATATGGAATTGACTATATCTCAAAAACTGCTCCACTTTTATAATTTTTGACGGTATTTTCGGATTCAGGGGACAATTTTACATAAGAATTGGCTGTTAAATTTTGGGATACCATGGTATTCCATTGTTAACCATGGTACAAGTGAAAAAGCAGCCACTAATAACTATTAAATTAGTCATTTTTGACTAATTCATTTTTAGAGAGTGCTCATCATTCAATGGCGGCCATTTTTGTTCTTTACAGTTCTTGTGCTTTGGGTTTGTACAGATTAATAATCGTTTTAAACGTTGTGTTTCTTACAGAGAGACTTGTAAGCCTTAAAAGAGACCTCAAAGTGGTAAGAACAATCATTTTACTCCTCTTTTGTAAAAAATAAACCTTATTTTATCAGGGCTGTCAAATGTCAATTTGAAGGTTAATTTGTGGGTTATAAAATAACCTTAAAATTTAAATTGCAGTGATTTTTAGTATTTTTAGTACGAGATCGAACAGACCTTGTTGTGTGGATTGTGATCCACCTAAACTGGGTATATTTGTCTGCCAACTGTCATCTGCCAACTGTCATCTGTCATTTTTTCCGATTTTTTTAGACAATTTTAGAAATGTTTTGCTCCAAAATAGAGAGGAACTTGGGCAAACAAAAAACAGGAATCGAAGGGTAAAATAATACGGTCTAACATACTAAAAGATAATATTCATAGAATGAAAACGAATCGGCCAAAAGTCCGTTTATTGTTTTTAGCATTGAAAAAAAATTATATGATTATATATAATGGATATATCCAGCAATAATGCGACGATTATATCCAGCAATAATGTGACATTTCCAAATTTGTCCATATAGTTCATAGTTGCGCATGTTCCCAAATTTTGTTTAAACATTTATAGGTATACCTATAGGTATATATAAATGTTTAAACAAAATTTCAACTATCAACTATCTCAAATTATAATTATACCTATATATAGGTATAATTATAATTTGAGATAGTTATAAACAAAACATATATGTTATAACAAAGACAAATCCCAACAAAATATAAAAGCAACACTGACAGGTGTCAGGTTGACATATGACATATATATATGTCATATGTCAACCTGACACCTGTCATTATTTGCTATAGCCACGGTCTTATATACAGGTCTTGCAACTTTAAGCTTCGTGGTGGCTTCCTTAACGTGCCAAGCCGCTAGGTGGCGCTAAGATCGAAGGGGTAAAGTCAATTAAACTACTACTTAGTTAAATGTGGAACTACTGCATAACCATAACCTAACTTTTTAAATTCTTTTTCTGTGTTTTGTTTACATTTTCAAAAATTTAATATTTGTGAGTTTGTTTCGGATAATTTACGTTAACAAAATAGGACAACAAAGTCTATACTCTATGCACAAAGTCCTCGGTCGTCACATGCCCAGACCAAACATGTTAATGTATAAAATACATACGTATATCATATATATGTTACGGCTAATGTGTAACTGTCAGCTATTTTAATTGAAAACGTATTTTTAACTAAATTAGCGGCTAGTTTGTAAACCAACCAAGGGTCTTGGCTAATTTACTTGAAATTATTTAGGAATAGCTGGATAATTTGTAAACTATCCAATTCAATTTGGCTAATATGAAAACCAAAATTTCTAGTAACACAACAAACTAACCAACCAATATTCTGGCTAATTTATTAATAACCGATTTTTTTATTGTCTTGGCGGGGATGGGTTGATTGTTTATTTAAAATAATATATATTTCACCAACACGATGTGCTTAATTATATAATAATCATACAAAATGTGAAGGTGTCAATAATATGTTTTTTATTGCACATTGCCATGTTTTTAACCGCTCCTTATTTGTTAGCACTTTAAACATGGACCGCTTAATTTTAATGCCGGAACGATAGCTTTGCTGGTTACATTTTGGCACAACACAGGACTTCATGTCTATTAAAAAGCACAAATACAAATGTATAACAAGAACAAATATAACAAGAAAAAATAGAACAATATAATATAACAATAACGAATATCACAATAACAAGTAAAAACTCCCTGTAACAAAATACACAAGCTTGTTTATAAAAATGTAGGTTATGTTTCTTCACAGAAAATAAGTAGGTAGTTCATTTGACCTTTATCCCATAGACTTTAAGGACTTAGAGCCGGTTTTACAATCGTTAGATTAAGTTAGCTAAGCTAACTTAGCTTATTTGGCGGATAACTTTCATAGAAACCTTCTATCTAAGAAAATTATCCACCAGAGAGCTTATCTAACGATTGTAAAACCCAAAGATAAAGAAGGTAAAAACGACCTTTAAACATCTATGGTTCACCCTCAACTCGATGCGCCATCTGGTGGGTGTCTCATTAGAGAGGTCACTTTTCCTATTGAAATTGGGCGAAGTTGCAAGACCTGTATATAAGACCGTGGCTATAGCAAATAAGTAAAAAAATAATTATTAAATTTCTACCGAGTTTAGGTGAAGCGGTCGCGGCGCACTAACCCCCCGCAAAGTGTTAAACAAATTTGGGGTTTTGAAGAGTGTTTGCAAAGAGCCATCTATAGATAGTAAAAATATTTTTCTGAATCTTGAATACATATCCCTAATATATTTTTTTTAAATAGAAAATTTTATAATATATTAATGTGGCAATATTTTAAGGTTATAAATTACGACGCAATTAAACTATTTGATTTTAGATAAAGTAAGTACCTATATGTACTTAACTAACTGTGGCATGCAGTATTATTGATTACCACTGAGGCTTGTATTCGTTTAATTTTATAAAAATATCTTGTTACAAAAATTAAAAAAAATGTTATTTTAAACTGTCGACAATAAAACAACTGATGTTTACCGACGTCACATCTCATAACCAATATTTCCACTACACGCAAGATAATAAAAATAAAATAAAAACAAAAACGTACACATGTAGGAAGAAGATAAAATAATCCTGATACAAATCTGACACAATTCACTTTCGAGAAACTCGATCGATCAGCACTTGTTTTTTCTGTCAAATTATGTAGGTATTTTTTTCACTCACTTACATCCACTATAAAACAAACAAAAAAATAATCGGAGGTGCACTGACGATGTCTTCGTATAGAAACAAACGATAAGGACCGCGAAGAGAACACTGAGGCACACCTTGCGCTAAACAATTGCCGGCGCGACTGCCTGTGCGAGGTTTCGTCAAGTGACAGTTGCCGGCTCGTGCTCGACCGCTTCCACTCGTGGGTTTCCATCCCGATCCATCGTTTAAGTCTTCTAGGTTGGAGCTATAGGTAAGTAGGTATAGGATTTTTTATTACCCACATATTTTATATAAAAATGCACCAAATAAAGTTACCTAGGTATATGTAGGTTTCCGAAATTCACTATAAAAAATATAACAATACATTTTTTTTAAGAAACCTTATTATAAACAGGTTTATCATAGGTAAAATATATATATAAATATATTAACTTGAGTAGGTATAAACATAATTTTGCAATATGTATACCTATCATCAATAAAATGTTAAATTTGAGCTTATAAAACATTTAAAAAATCTACTATTCTCTTTTTTGGCATGATATTGAAAAATTGGTTGCTGGACACCTAAAGCCTATCTTCGTATATACAGCCCGTTCAGAGTAAAACCGAATATAGGGAAACGTAAGGGGTGTGGCCTCGCCTCCCTCCAACGCGCGACACAGTATAGCTATAGCTAAGCATGTAGCCTGCATCGCTAATGAGATTTTTTCCATTATTATCATTTAATTTTTAAGGTCGTCTTACCTGCTCGAACTTTCGTTATGTCGTTTATCACACAAGCTACTGTGACGCGCGTTGAAGGGAGGCGAGGCCACGCCTAAAACGTTTCCCTATATTCGGTTTTACTCTGAACGGGCTGTATATTCTGAAATGAGTATACTAACAGTACTATAGTATACTAACAGTACTATAGTATACTAACAGTACTATAGTATACTAACAGTACTACAGTATACTGTTACAGTACTACTAGTACATATATTTTTTAAACTTATATATATATATATATATATGTATATATATATTATATAATATACTATATTATATTATATTATAAAGTATATCCCGTATGGTCTAGTGGTTAGGATACCTACACTGAAAGAAATTTGTTGCTAAAAGTAAATACAAATTTATACTAAAAATTTTATACTAGTGCTTTACACATTTATACTACTGTTTATTATGAATGTATGGTAAATTTTGTAATACATTTATTGTAAAGAAGATATGTTAGATCTAAATAAAAATAAACTTACCCTTACTATAAAATGTAAACTATAAGTGAATTACAGCAAAAAAATATTGCTAGAAACACCATTTATATTGCTAGGGCAGCAATAGGCTGCTAACCAAACGAATATATTTGTTTTAGCAATGTATGTGGTAGTCTATATATGAAACATAAAATATATTTGCCCTAATTATTTTTTTATTTAACTTTAGTATATATTTCTTTCAGTGTAGCTCTTAATACATTTTTAAACCATAAAACTTATTTTATGAATATGACTGGAGTCTTTTTAAAACTTTTCACTAAATAATTTACTGGTATAAATATTGTAGGTATACCTATAGGTATACCTACAATATTTATACCAGTAAATTATTTAGTGAAAAGTTTTAAAAAGTATACTGGAATTATTTATAAAACAAATAAATGTTTTAAATGTGTCTCATGAGTCTCGGATACCTGAATACTTTTTATAAAAGGAGTATTTTTAAATAATCTTTTTGAAAAAAAAAAGTGAAATTGTTAAAAGGTTATTAGGTCTCTTAGATGGTGATTTTGAACGACGGTTTGAATTTTGCTTATGGTTGCAAGGTAACTATCTTAACGATATATATTTTTTAAAAAACATAATGTTTACTGACGAGGCAACATTGACCACAAACGGTGTGGTGTTGTAAAAATTGTAGATATTGGGCATCCGAAAATCCCAACTTTGTAAAATTGTATAATGTATAATTGTAAAAACCAATACAGTCAAAAAGTTACGTGTGGTGCACCACACGTGGCACATGTGGCATATTAAACAAACGAATTGTTTTTTCTGGATAACCTCAACGGAGAAAATTTTCTACATTTAGAAAATGATTTTCATGATTTTTTAATTAAATTACCTTTAGCACAGAGAGAAAATTTATACTTCCAATTAGATGGTGATAATTCCATGAGAGTGAGAAATTTTTTAAATGAAAATTTTCCTGTGAAGTGGATAGGAAGAAATAGCCCTTTAGAACCATGGCCCCCTAGATCGCCTGATATTACCCCTTGTGATTTTTTTCTGTGGGGATACTTGAAAAATAAAGTGTATTTTACTCGGCCGCGTAACAACTTTGCGTCAGAATTAGGCAAGCGTGTCAAGAAATTACTCCCCAAACTAGTGAACGGTTAAGAAAAGTTGTTGAAAAGGGTATTGTTTTGGAAGTTGGTTATGTTGAAGAGACCAGAATTTAAAAAAATATTAATTTTTAGATTTCTTATTGCAATTAAATAAACAAGTTGTAAAAAATTAAAAAGTGTCTTGATAAATTAAGTAATTTTTCGTTTCTGTCATAATCAGTTTTTGAGATTTTAAGAATATGGATTAAGGGGTTTTTGGGGATGCTGAAACTAAATTTGATTGAAAAATTTATCTAAAATAAACCCTAATATCCTTTTGCCGAAAAATCTACCCCCTTTTACCCCCTAACACCGTACGCCAATGATAAATAAAAAAATTACTATAGCAAATATTTCATTTCTCCAACATATAAGGATAAGATATAAGGGTGGATTTATGAAAAGCGGAACACACTGTATTTGAAACTCTTACATTTATCAAAAAAACTAATAAACCTTTTTTGTAAATCAGTTAATTTTCAACAAAACTACTACTATAGTTACTATAGGTACTACTTATTTTAAAATTCCAAAAAGCATTCAATACCTTGGCAAAATGTTTATTGGGCTTAGTTTTATACAGCCCGTTCAGAGTAAAACCGAATATAGGGAAACGAATAGGGCGTGGCCTCGCCTCCCTCCAACGGGCGACAGTAGCATTATTTAATTTAAAAGGTCATCTTACCTGCTCGACCTTTCATCATGTCGTTTATAACACAAGCTACTGTGACGCGCGTTGGAGGGAGGCGAGGCCACGTCCAAAACGTTTCCCTATATTCGGTTTTACTCTGAACGGGCTGTATTTATTTGTTAGTAAGATACAAAATATTTTCATCGGACTAATGTGAAAATGGAGGATCTTACTCCTTATAATAAGAGCTCATACGTAGATATATCTATAGGCTTCTTTTGAGGTGCCCAGTAACCAATTTTTATATAATAAGTCAAAAAAAGAATAGTAGATATTTTGAATCACCTTATAGGTTAGGTACATATTATGTATCAAGTTTCATAAACGAAATTTTAGTCACGAATTTTAACTGGGCAAGAGGCCAGCGAGTGTTTAATAAAATGAGTGTCTAGAAAAAATTATAAATGATTTGCATACTACGACAAATATTATATAATATAATTTATTACTAATTAAGTTAAATATTTGTTAAGAGCGACATCTATACAAAAATAGAGTTATCAAATTGGTGTTAGGAATCTGTTTTAGCGACTTTCAAAATGGCAGTGTTAGTTTGTCAAATTTGTCTGTAAAAATTGAAACTTACATGAAAATGGACTAACCGTTTAAATCCGATATAGAAGCAGTTTTTTACAGTGTAAGTAAGTAAAGAGGATGTTTTATGGGTAGGTACTTCACCCAAAAATTTTAATGCTTTATCAGCAAATACTAGTTTACTGCCGGCGAAATCAAATTAATAAAAACGTGCATTTAAACTTTTTAAAGATTTATGTCAAAAAACTATTTAATAACTTTTTTTTTTTATTTTTGTATTGAGATAATAATATAACATTTTGTATAAAGTTTTATCAACGCCTTTTTAGTTACGAGTTTTATTAGGCACAAGAAAAGCTTGCGAACGAGTGCCATTAAAAACAGTGTGTAGAGAAGTTTATAAAACGAGTTTTTCCTAATTTATAATATAGCTAACGCCAGCCCGTGACTAAAATACCCAAAAGCCTCTGTTGCTAACTTCAGCCCGTGACTAAAACGCCATAAAGTCACAAATTATCAATAGGGAAGTATACTTTGTATACTATTGTATCTATAGATACAATATCCAAATTAAGTATTATTTCACAAGAAGGGCACTTTATTTTGACGGTTGTATGACATTTGACTGTCAACTACCTTAAAGCTAACTTCAGTCACAGCTTGTCAATGTGTAGGTATTTAAAAGATCACTTAATTGTGATAGAAACATGTACGATAAAAGAATTATTTATTCAAAGATAATAATAAAAATAATTTATTTTTTTACACTGAAAATTAGTCAAAACTGAAAAAGTATGCATTATACCTAAATACATATATTTCTTTTATATAATATTATATAAAAGAAATATATGTTCTTGTTAAAAATGTATTACACAACCAAACAATTTTCGAAAAACGCTTTTTAAACGTTTCCACCTTATTCCACCGTATACACAGGTAGGTATAACTATATCGTTCGGAATTTTATTTGAGGCTACTGTTGTTGTCCGGCCATATGAAACCTGTAATTTTGCCCAGGGAGCCCATTTAAATTTCCTCCTTTACCCCTCCGTACCTTTGCTACCACCCGTAATTATGGTTCATTAAGTCCAGAAATATTTTCTTCGAATGTTGCCTGTCTGCCTCTATAGGAGCACCTCTGTGTGTGCCTCGGCGGCAATTTCGTTCGACCTTTATAAATAATTTATGAAAATTATGAAGAATACGCGAGCAAACACTAATTTAAAAAAGTTAAGTGTGCTGGTATTTCCAAGATAAACATTTTAATTTTGTTAATACAAATTTACTACAACATATCTATTTTAGGCACAGCAAATATCCTTATTTTTGCTTGGGTCATATCTCGATCGATATTCGTAAGTAATATCATAAGGGCATTTAATTTTTCCGAAAAGAATCGAAAAAACACGTTGCTAAGTAATATTTTAACAAAAAGCATGAGTGCTGGTGGCAACAAAAATCCGAGTCGAAGAGGAGGATTTTTGCACCTGCACGAATGCATTTTGTTAAAAAATATTA